CATTTTTTGCTAATTGTCGTCAAAAATTAGGCGTAAAGCAAAAATTGATATTTCATATGGTTTTATGATAGATAAGCATTATATTCCCACTCATTATATTCGTAAATTTTGAGGTTTATCCTTCGCTTTTAAGATCATTGAATTTGATTTTTATATAAAATAGTTATATATTAGAAAATAATATGAGTTTATGTGATATTATTTTTCAGAAGATTTTGTGTTCTTCTTCAAAATTTTATTTTTTTATTAAAAAGAATCTTTACAAAATATACATTTACTTTAATTAATATTTAAAAACGTGCTCTATCAAAAGTTCCAAAAATTCAATATTTTAGCTTTTCTGAGGTGTCACTTTTGATGAATTTCTGTTTACAACAATATGATATTTATGAAGATGTTGACGACACAACTGTTCCTGCAAGTGAAGTAAAGTCAGAGGAACCGAAAAGTGACAAAAAACCGATAGAAGAAGAAAAACCAAAAACTGAAGATAAACCAAAACCAAAGTTTAGTTTCCAAACTAAACCAAGTCAACCTTCATTAGCTGGTATGGGTTGGCGTCAAAGACTTATGGCAGCAGGCGGTTATGTAAAGTAAAGAAAAAAATATTTTTTTATTTTTATAAAATGCCCCCATATAGAATGGACAGAAAGTCTGCTAGAATAAAAGCAGAGTTACAAAGATATGGTTGGAGAGTTTCGAAGAAGTTTAAATATAGGAAGGGAAAGCCAATAAAAGTCTATGACAAATTGGCAGGTCTTACCTACGAATTAGATTTGGAAACAGCACGTGCCAATTATCCAAACAGACTAGAGAGGTTAGAAGAAGAACGTCTTATGAACATGCCTTTCGATGTTAGTGAACCTCAAGTTGAAGGACACGACGGCTTTGCCAGATTCTACTGGAACATGACGAACAATTGCATCCTTTGAGAAGGAAAAAGGAAAAGGTGAAGACGCACATGCTCCCATGGAAAGAACAAGATATGCATATGAAAAGTATCGTGAAGTTAGAAGTCAAATTACATCTGGTCGAACCTTTACAGTAAACTTTGACGAAGGAAAGAACAAAGAAGGCTTCATGGGTGTACTTGCTGCAATTCAAGACGGAAATAAGAAAGGACACAATCTCAGATTGACCATAACAGATTGGATGGTCACATTTACTATGCACATGGCAATGAACAAACAGCCGCAAAACTTCTTGACGCTTTCAAGACTACAAAGAGAGAACAAATGGTTTGACTCCGACTCAGACATTTTGAATGCAATTGAAGGAATTGCAAGTGTCAAGTTCGAATGGTACCAACCTAACTCTCAAGCAGTCAGACAACATGCTGGATACTTCCCGTTCATAAATAAGTCTGACATTGACTTGACAAGGTATGGAATTTACAATCCAATTGAAACAATTGTCAATGAACCTTGTATTCTTACATGTCTCAGGAACTCTGGTCTTGTTACAGATGAGAAGATGAAGTATCTTGAGTCATGTGTGAAGACAAGGTACATTCTCAGAGGTCAATTGGCAAAAATTGCACCGTTGGCAAATGTCAATATCCGAGTCAACATACCTACAGCTAAAGGTTCTTCACATGACGACTATGTTGTTGACAAAGACTTACCATGGTTAAAGATTGTAATTGTCCACAACCACTTCATGTTGAACGAAAGTCTTACAAACCCATTCTTTGGTAAAAGTAAGTGCAACATTGTCAGAGCTGTAAACATTCTTTTCGAGAAAGGTTTGTTGGAACCAATTCCAGATGACAAGCTGACAGAAACTTTTGTACCAAAAGAAAACAAGCTTTTCATTGTTAGCAAGACCAAAAGTTGTTCCAGACAAAGTTTCTAGTACAAAAGAAGTACACAGTTCCACAAGGGGTTGGTATGTTCGGATACCAACCTGAACCAGAAGAACTTCCAATGAGGTTGCAAGAACTTCAAGATGCTATAAACAAACTTCCATTGAGACATCCAATTGACGACAAATTGTATTGGAGAGCATCTGAGTTAGGTCAGAAGGTTTTATATGAAACAGGTTGCTTCGACGATGTTTATGAGATAACAGGAGAAGTTTCTCAGAAGATAAGAGACTCACTTGAATTTCCACAAACTGGACCAATTGGTTGCGACAAGTTCGACTCAAACGAAAAGATATACTATGTCGACCTTAACGCTGCGTACATGAGGTTTGTCCAATATATTCCGACTGGAATTCCAAACGAAGATGGTGAGTTCCGGGAAGGAACTATACAGTTGGAAAAGTCATACAACAACTGTATGATATTAGGAAAGCTTCAAACCCCAAACTTGCAATGACACTCAAATTGCTTATGAATTCGACATGGGGATATTCCATTAAGAAACCTCAAGAGATGAAGAGTAAACATTATGAGAAGGTCGACAACTTTGTTGAAAGGTTTTCTCCTTTTGTTTTGAAGTACGAATTCACTCAAGGTCAAAGTGGCTTAGTAACCACATTAAAACCTATTGTCGAACATTGGTCTTACCCTCAGTTCGCAAAGGCAGTACTTGACAACTACAACAAATTCTTCTCCGAAGTCAAATCCAAAGTGAAGGTTTACTATGAGAACATTGACGCACTCATGACGAACGAAGAAGGATACAACAAACTCATTGAAATGGGTTTAGTCGGTGAAAAGATGGGCTGTTTTAAGCTAGATAAGGTATTTTCCGAAGTTCATGTAATATCGAAAAGGAAATATTGGGGCATACTTGAAGACGGCACAGAAATAAAACATTGCATGAAGTAAAAACGTTTTTCAAAAAAGTGACATTTTTTATTTTATTTGAAATGTACGCTGAGTTTGTTGGAGAAGACCGTTGGGAAACTTGTTTGTTAGATGAGAAATATGAAATTCACTGTTGTAAGTCATTTGAAGTCAAAAACAAAAAGACAAAAAGAGTTTTAAGCGAATGGGAGCGAAATGACGGATATGCTATTATGAAGATGGGTGGAAAACACTATCTTAAACATGTTGTCATTGCAACTCATTTTATACTGAATCCTAACAATTTACCTTTTGTAGACCATATAAACCATATAAGAAACGACAATAGACTTGAAAACTTACGTTGGGTCACTCGTTCTGAAAACAATAAGAACAAAGGCAAATTTGGAGATATTGTATTCGAATTTGTCGACGAACTAGAAGATGAAACAATTGAAATTACAGACTATGGCAAGCATACGTTTGAGTTTTACTACTATAGCGAAGAACAAGACTCTTTCTACTTTTTATACCGGCGTAAACTATAGGAAATTACAAGTATATTTTACTAAGGCGGGCTATGCTTATGTAAACACTAGAGATACAGATGGAAAATACGTTCAAATACTTCTTAACAAATTCAAGAAGCTATATGGCATACCATTTTAAAACAATATATTTTTACATATATTAAATGCTTCAGGTTGAAAAACAAAGAACAAAAGTAGCAGATACAAAACCGTTAGACTATATCTTTACAAATGCTGGTAGGACTATTTCAGATGAAGAAATTTCATCCCGAGCATACAGGTTTGACTATCCAATTCGTTGGCTTCAAAGTCCTTCAGATGCAAAGGCAATAGGATTTAGAAGAGTTTTGTTTTCAAATAGAACTAACGCATTTATGTTCGCAGTATATTTTCATGGGCAGTATGAAGTCCTGATGGTCTAATAGACAAATTTGACGAAATGAGAATCTTTACAGTTCGTTCAGACGAAAGTCTTGAGAAAACTCTAGATGACTTTCAAACTCAAATGAACAAATATTATTGGGAATTTCAAGAAAAATACGACTCTTTACTAAATGGAACATACTATCTGAAACTAGAATATGACAAGATGAACTCCACCGTTTCATTTCAAAAGATTGAAATTAACCCTCCAAGAGATACAGAGTTTTTATTTTGGGAAGTAGACAAACGTTCTTGGCACAATTTCTTCGGTTACTAAACCAGAACGAACCTTACCACCAGATGGTCCATTTAAATTTATACTTCCACCAGCAGATTTGATGGTTTATAGAAACGTGTTTGACCCTCAAAATGTTATGTGTCATGCAAGTTTCAGTTCAAGCAACAATATTTTTCTATGTATTGGTAAGGACCTTTATGACTTTGCTTCTAAATTCTACGAACCACCTAGTAACAGTTTCTCTGACTTTCAAGTTTGGTTCACAACAAATGGTGTGCAACATATTATTCCATTGTACTATGACTTTTATCTCGAATTGTCTTTCATATATAACTAGGGAAAAGTGCTGAAAAAGTATTGAATGTGAAGATATTAGAAAATAACATTTTTTCTAACATCGTAGAAAACTCATGAAAACAATTTATTTTTGACACTTTCACAAAAAACATTAAAAAAGTGAGTTAAAATGAGATGTTTACTGAACTGGTTGGATGTCGCCTTCTGAGGTTATGTAGAACGGCTGACCCGAGAAGTGAAGGAGAGACTGAATTGCCAATTTCATATGGGGTAGGGGGTTCTCCTTGTTTGGTATTTTTATCCAAGGACGTTTGTTTAGGAACTTAACAAGAGCTTCTCTTTTGGCGTCCTTTATGCCATCGTAGGCTGTCCCGTCTGGTATTTGAATTGGAATTCCAGTCGAAGTCTCGAGCTGAAGTGTAGACCTTCCAGAAATAGTGATGAACTTGACCTTGGGCTTCATTACCTTGCGCAAGTAGTCTTTTACGCAGTCGTTAAGTTCAATGAGGTAAATTGCCTCGTCAAGTCTTTCTTGCATTCCAAGTTCTTCCATCCGACAGGAAAATATTTTCCCGACAAAGGGAAAAATTTTTCCTTCCGACAGGAAGAACTCTTCCAGTTGTCCGTCCGTAAACCATTCAAATTTTCGAAAATTGAGAACTTTTTGGTCGAACTTCAGAAAAAGTTTTTCCTTCCGACAGAAAAAGTTTTTCCTTCCGACAGAAAAAGTTCTTCCTTCCGACAGAAAAAGTTCTTCCTTCCGACAGGACACAAACGGATGACTGACGTTCCTCTTCCTGAATGTCTTCCAAAGCCAGAAGAACCGAAAGCTGCAGAACCACAACAGTCTCCTCAGCAACCTCAGTTCCAGCAAGTACCCCCGAATTACTACCAATTTCCACCTCAAGGTTACTACCCACCACAAGGCTTCCCGAACTACCCTCCTCAGCCTATGCCTTACTTCCCCAACCCTTGGTTGTTCCAGCAAGCTCCACCCCAGCAATTCCAATTCCAATCTCAATCGAAGAGAGACCAAGACTTCGAAGAAGGTCTGAACCGATTACGCAAAGAGTATGCTACAGCTCCAATTGAGAGAAAGTTGTTCCCGGACCAAAAAATAATGTTTAGGGTAGATGGTTAGATCTAACCTCATTTCTAACCCGATTTCTACCCTCATGAATTTTCATGAATTTTCCCGAAATCAAAAATAAAACTAACTTTATTTTTATTTATTTTTTTATTTTGTATAAAAGATATGATTTCAACAATCGGCACAACAACAATTCAAACAACTTCACCAAATTCATTAGTCATGAATCCAACATCTATGTTAGTAGAGATGAAAAACTTCATTCCTTCTTCATATAGTTTTGGAACAGAAATACAAAAAATTAAGCAAGAACTTTTAACAAGTAATTTAGACTGTACCGCACAGGATGAAGAAAATGAAGAATATCTTTATGACATGCAGGACATTATTGACCATTTACCCAAATTGCCTTAAATCCAACAACAAAAACTCACTATTCCTGAATTCGATGAAATAGAAGTGAAACCAACTGACTCAGTAGAAATAAAGAAGTTCATACGAAAGGTAAATTATGAGTTTCTAGGATATCATTGCAACCATAAAGTTATGGACAAAGATTGCGACATGGTATATAAGAACATCTCTGACATATATAAATCTGGGGAGTTTAAGACATACGATAACTTTGTTTCATTAGTTGCAAAATGTGTATGGCAGATAAGAGATAAAGATAGAAGAGGTAAAGTATGGAATGAACAGATAAAACCAACTGCTTCAGATTTAAAGAAAACCATTGACGCCTTAGTTGTTTTAGCAGGTAAGGTTTCAGAATATAACGCAAAAATGAATCCGCAATGTTCAAAATGTAAAGCAGCAATTAGGAAATATAACTATTCAGTAAAAGAGATAGAAAGAATGAGAAACGACTATGCAGATTTAAAGAGGGAGGCAGAGAAGCCGGTAGAAGATAAAATGGACATGTTAGCATTTCTGAACAAAAACTATCCCACAGCTGATGATTTCCTTCTATCTGACGTCAAGAAGAAGTATAAAGAAACTTTCGGCATTGTTAAAATTTTTGATATCCTCAGCGAAGAAATAGAAGCTACAAAACTGTTTAGAGTCTCACGAATTCATAACGTTTACCATGTAAAACGGTTATAAAATAACTGGGGTAGAAATGAGGGTAGATATCGGGTTAGATCTAACCTTCTACCCTAAAATATATTTTTATTGAATTCAGCACAAAATTCTGAGTAAAATAATTTTTAGGGCACGTGTCAAACCGTTGAGTTTTCACAAAATTCCAAAAATAACGTTTACCATGTAAAACGTTTATAAAATAACTGGGGTAGAAATCGGGTTAGAAATCGGGTTAGATCTAACCATCTACCCTAAAATATATTTTTGGTGTAAATTTCATTAACTGACTGACGGCACAAAGTGCCTTAACGAAAACATTAATATATAAAATTCATGAAAATTCATGAAAATTCATGAGGGTAGAAATGAGGTTAGAAATCGGGTTAGATATACCCATCTACCCTAAAAATATATTTTTATTGAATTCAGCACAAAAATAATGAATTTTCAAGCTTGACTTTTTACAATTTGAACTTTGTTTGCGTAGATATGAATTCTGAAAGAAGTATGAGGGTCTTGTATGACTTTGTACTTCTCCCATAGTTCATGTCTGTCAAACTTACCTGCCATGGACTCTTTCATAAGTTCCATGAAATCGTCTTCGGACAATCCGGGGAAAAGTATTATGTCAGTAAGTATTCTTTTAACATCCTTACTTAAACTCTTTGCTGTCTGTACACAAATGACAACTGAGATGTTAAAGTGTCTGAGCTTCTTAAGAATTCGACACATATCTTGTTCTCTGTTCTTTAACAAAGGATGAGAGGCGAAATCATCTAAGATAAGAAGACATCTATGAGGGTAAGTCTTCCAATCGTAAGATTGCAATTTCTTCGAAATGTATTCTATCTCTTTCTGTTTGTTTCTGAAGTGTTTCTTCTCTAATATTCTCTGCATTTCCTCATTTGGGTCTTTAAACTTCGAATTTATATACTCATTTATAGCATTATACTTCAAAACTCTTCTTTGGTACTTCTTTATCCAATCTAACAACTCAGTATCCTTTATACATACTAACTTAGACTTCTTTATAATATCTTTGAACGAATTGACGGTTTGGTCAAATTGACCAGAAGTCGAACAAATAACAACTAACTCATAGAATGGGTTCTTCTCATCTAGTTCTTGTTGTTGTGCAGCCATTTTAAAGATAAGTGAAAGTCTTACCCGACCCAGGTGGTGCAATTAGACCTGTTATACCATTCTGAGCAAATAAGAACTTGTCATGTATAGGCTTTATCTGAGAATTTTCTAACTTCCTCTTGTTCTTGTCTAAAACATTCTCAAATTTCTTGTCAATGTCAGCAAACTTTTTTTCTAACATATTTTTAGAAAAATTAAAATTTTTATCTTTTAGAAAATGTCTAGCGATTTCGCTATCTATATTCGAGACAAACTTTTTGACAGCAAAACATCTGTCGACCATAAAATCTTACATAGTGTAAACAAGAAAGGTGAATTTGTTCTAAAGTTCTGTTTCTGGGAATATGACAAGAACCATAAAACATTACAAAGAGCAGTCTTAAAATTTGTCAATGACAGACTTGTTGACAGAGATGACGCCGATTGGAAAGATGAAGTCCAACAAAAGTTCTTAGAATGCAAAGAAGACACATGCGCTGTTCTTGAAGATGAAATAGAAAACAGAATAGATGAGCTATTAAAGGACAAAGAACTTTTACAGAAATATGGTTCTGAGAAATTTGACGTCTCACCACCAGAAAAGAAGAAGAGAGAAAAGAAAGTAGAAGAAGAGAAGAAAGAACCAGAGACAATTCCACCGAAGAAGAAATTTGACATGTAAAAATAAAATTTTATTTTTAGAACATTTCTGGGTCAATGTCAATGTTCTCTTCCTCTTTAGGAGTAAACACTGGCTTAGACTCTAATAGCTTTTTACCCAATTTACCTTGAACTTCTACAACTTTAGACTCATAATATTCATAGTCGTCTGTCTTCTTTGGTTCATAAGGTATAACAAGTTTGGATGCTTTGCCTTCTTTAAGGTTTGAGAACCTTCTGTCAAAACTTTCTTTGACTGTTAAAAAACCTTCTATGTCTAAGTCTTCAAATTTCGCACCATTTTTAGTCACAATAGCAAACTTAACTGGTTCGATGTTCCAAACTTTGCTGAATGAAGACTTTTCAAAATGGTAGAAGTAAACATTCAAATATGTGAATGGGTCTAGTTCTTCTTTAAGTCCTGACATGTACTTGTTTACTGAGATGAATTTCGTCATCTTTTCTATCGGATAAAAAAATATTTTTTTAAAAATTTACTCAGAAAAAATTTTTCTTTGTATATACACCATTCTGAACATCTAAAAGACTTTTGACATTTGCCAAGAATGTACGTTTAGAAGCTGCCATATAACCATATTCTTGACAATATTGTTTATACGAATCGTACAATGACCTTTCATCTAATGACACAAAGTCAGTTTCATCTATGAACAGTTCATATACACTCTTGTTTGCTTCTAACAATGTTTGTCTCTCTTCGGTATGTGGAATTTGTCTTGGATTGAACTTAGAAATATCTAATGTCATGAAATATGAGAACAAGTGGTTGTAAAAGTCAGATGTCAAAGTTTCTGCTAAGTCGTCAAAATATTCTGTATCTTGCATATGAGAATCTGACGTTCTGACAACTACATATCTTCTGTCAGAACTTTCTAACTTCATCGGAACAGCATTGTTTGAAACCATAATGAAGTTTGCAACATTTTCACAAACTCTTTGGTCTTTATACTTTCTTTCAACAACTCCAACTTTGTCTGTTATAAGACTCTTCAAAGCATCTGAGTTCAAAACTTTTGTTGTATCTATACTTTGAAGTTCATTGCAAACTATAAGTTTCATATTCTCTATTGAGGAGTTAAACTTGCCACAGATGTTTTCTAAGTTTGTCATATTCGGATTCGAATAACCTTCTAACAGTTTGCACAAAATATCTGTAAAGAAAGTATTCTTACCAGTTCCTTGTTTTCCAATTATAATGAGAGCAGTTTCATTTTTAGCACTTGGATGTTGTAAGATATTTGCAAACCAACATAAGATATACTCATAGACTCTTTCGTTTCCATTGCATATAATTTCTTTGACATGGTCTAACCAAGCTTCTATAATACTGTGTTTCCATTCTACTTGTTCGTATTTATATCCAGTGAAGATAGAATAGAAGTTTGGAGAAAGTGTATAGAACTTTATACCTCGAACTGAAAAATCTTCTAACTTTGACAATAAGATATCCCAAGCATCTAACATCTTCATTCCAACTTGTACAACTTTTATTTTCTTAAGTTTCTGTCTACATTCTTGCTCAGACACTATTGTTGCTCTTGGTTTGTTAAATACAACATCACATTCTTTCATAACATAACATTCTGGGGCAGAGTCGACATAAATGACTAAACGTTTCAAATTCTCGACTGCTTTGTTATAGTCTCTAAATGGACACATATTTCTGAATGCTTGGAAGTCATAAAAATCTGAAACATCTATTCTGTACATTTTTATAAAAATAAAAAAAATATTATTTTTTTATTCTTGACTTTGTTGTTCCATTTGTTGCATTTGTTGTTCTTGAGCTATTTGTTGTTGAAGTTGTTCTTGTAATACAATACTTTCACCAGTTGCATCTTCCAATTCGAAACTTTCTGCCGTCATTGACAAATACATAGGACATAAAAGTTTTACAGGAACAAAGTTTGCGTCAACTAATGTCAACGTTATACTTGCCAAAGTGTTTGAGTTCACTAAGGTTGAAAATTCTGCATTCGAATGAACAATAGGCAAACCAGCAGAGAAAGTATTGTTTATACGCATAAGTATCTTTTGGTCATAATAGTTTCTGTCACATTCGAATAACACTTTGAACCTAAGTTTGAAACAATATATAAGATTGGTGTGCTTAATGTCAATGGAATAGACATTCCTTGTATGACACCTTTTCCTGTTATAGGAAACTGTTGGTAGTAAAAACCAGAAATAAGTTTGTATTATAGCTCATATCGTTTATAGTAAACTCAGTCGGACATCCAAACATAATGAAACCTGCTCTAGTTGCAGCACATGTTACACCCGTCCTTAAAGTATTAAATAAGTCAACAAAACCTGTTGGTGGTATATCTGAGTAAGTATCTTCAAAGGAGTATTTTTTACCATTCACAACAATAAAGTCTTCTGGTGTCAAAGAGCAAAACAGGCTTTAGTCGTCATTGTGTTTAAGGTTAGTTTACAATACCGTCCTTGAGGACTTTGTAAGTTTGTTGTTATAGAATTATATGACTCAGGGTTTTTAGTCGTAATAGTATAACCATTATGTCTTCTGCCATTTACTTAGCAAATAAACTTTAATGAAATGTTGTGGTCGTCAAATATTTTTATAACGTCTGGGAAACTATATTTTAAGTTCAACGTTTCACCTCCTTTCATAACATATATCTTGTCAATGACATTATATGAAACACCACAGCAACTAATGTCGGGTTCTATTTCTTTGATGTTTATATCGTCTGCCTCTGTCAAAAGTTTCAATAGTTCTTTCAAAACTTCATGAGGTGCAATGACATATGAGTTCACTTTTACAGGGTTGTGTTCGCCCAAGTTTAACATTATACTTAAAGCTTGACAAATCTTCTCCTGAGTTTGAAGTTTGTCTTTCAGTTGTTGGTAGTCGTTTCGAATATCTGCAACAGAACTTAAGTCTCTGGTAACTTCAGGATATGTTGGTTCTTTTACAGGAACAATTGTTATACCATCTTCGTCTTCGTATGGTTTCCCCACTTCAACATCTCTGTCTTTGACATTGACAACAACACTTTGACTGTTTGTTTGAGTTGGTGAATTTAACTTCACATCTGCCACCGCCATTAAACCTTTTGAAACACTTACGCTTCTATTTTTCGGAAATGACATTTTACTTAGAATAAAAAGATGGACGTATTCGGATATCTTATTGAATTGAAGCAGAACAAAGTTTATACTCACAAACAATACAAATACATTGACAGAATAGTTCTTTACACAAACAATGGAAAATGTTATAGAATAGCAGTCTTTGCTGAACCTAAATATTTTCATAAAGCAAAGAAAGTTGGTATAACTGAAATGGTGAAAGTTCTTGAAGCAGACAAAAATATAACTTCAAAACTTACAGATATTACTAAAGGAAAGTTTATAATACAATATTATGTCAAAACTGGCGTACTGTCAATATTTGACGGAGAGAAGTCAGTTCAAGAACAACTTACTGACCTGCTGCCAAAATCTGCTCGATGGAAGCTGTCGTTATGCCAATCTGAGGAGCCCCAGCAGGTTTCATCGAACGAATCTTCAAAAGAGCATCTTCCGTGAAAAGTGCTATTGGTTTTGTAAACTTCTTTGCTCTCAATTCATCTGGACCGTCTCTGTCACCAGTATATTGTATTTGTACAGTACCAACAGTTGAAATACCACCCATAAAGTCTTCTGAGTCAGCAAATGGAATGCCAAGCCAAAAGTTTGAACGGTCTCCATTTGTATATTGAGTTTTTTGACCTCCTGTATGAGTCCATACTTTCACATATGGCATAATAGAACTTTGCATTTCAGGGTTAATGGTTGTTGTGAAGTTGTTGTTAAAGTTCATAGCATCTAATGTCAAGTTGTATGACCTCATATCCTCAACTGTAGAATATTCTTCTCTTGGATAATATTTGCCATCTATGTTTATATGATATTTAATACCAGGGTTGCAAAGTCTTTGACAGATATTTGGTGTATAGGGAACATAAGTGGAACTGCAATATATTTGGCAGCTAAAGCATTTGAAATATCTGGGTCCAACATATAGACTGCAAGTCTGCTTTCTATTCTCTTGCATTCAAATTTTTCGCATGTGAACTTAACTGGGTCCCAAGCAGTTCCAGCAGCATTGAAATAATAGTTTACTTCATTGTTGAAGTTTGAGAAACCAAAGTCTAAGTCAACTTTGTCTTTGCAAAATTCAGCGAATGACGTTTGATTTGTTCCCTTTACGTCTGTAATAGTGAATGGGTCTTGTGTTGGTGCAATGACTAAGTTATTTTTGCTTGGAGTAAGTTCGATAGAAATTTTTCCTGCCCAGTTTGGTAAGTATCTTAAGAACCTAAAGATGAGGAAAGATGACAAAGGAACTCTAAGTTTCAGTTTTACTTTGGTTACTGCTGCTGCAGTTTGTCCAGAAAGGTTAACATAAACTCCTGGAACGTTAGGGTCAAGTCTTCTTATTTTCTCAATAGTTGCATACTGGTCTGTTTGTTCTCTAGCTTGTGGTTGTACTGAGTTTCTCAAAGCGAACCATTCATAGTTTGCCCATGTTACTGTTTGAACTAAGTCAGAGTTAGAATATATCTTATATCCCATGAAAACTTCTGGAGCATATTGGTATCCGACATAGAAAATTCCATTGCAACCTTTCTTGTCAGACAACTTGGCAGAAGGTTTTATTTCAATGTCTTGTTCCACGTATAAGAATGAGTTGTCAATAGAAATAATATGAAACCTGTCGCAAGCAATATCTACTGTTGTTGAAGAACCTTCTCCAAACTCACCTACGTTTCCATAAGAAACAGCAGTTGTATATTCGTAAGTTCCTGGAACTATTTCTGACCTTCTAATGGCATTGTCGCATTCGTTATACCATTTGGAAACATTTCCGTTCATGGCATCCAAAATTGTTGGCGTTATATTCTGAGCGGCGTACATTTCATATGGGTAAAAATATAGAATAGTTGGATTTATATGTCATAATAGAACCCACTCGGACCAAGCTTTACTTTCTTCCTGATTGAGTTTTTAACTCTTCTTTTTCCTTCATTGCCACTACTTTCACTAGATGAAGTTACTTCTTCACTACATTCACTTTGTTCTACTCTTCTCTTCTTCTTTGGTGTCGCTTTTGGTAACTTGCCCTCTGCTTCAAGTTGTTGCATCTTTGCCTCATGTTCACCTAGTATGTTGTAAATTTCCCATGTCCTTTTTGCCTTTGGGCTCTGGTCGCCCATCTCAGGTAACCTATATCCTAGAAAGATTTTGTCATAGTTTGTATTTGAGTCTTCGCTTATTGTTTGCATGACTCTTTCCTGAGTTTCCGGTTCAAGCTCTTCAAACAGAGTTAGTATACAAGTCATGGGTACGGCGGCACTGCGTTCCACCTTACCCAATACTTGTGAATTTGACACTTTACAAAGCCGCCAACCACTTCACTAACGAACTCACTAATGTAAAAAATAAACGTTCTCACTATCGTTCTCACTAACGACTTCACTAATGTTCTCATAAATTTTCCTCAATATCTTCATCATCAGTGTTAACCCTATTGTAGTCATACTTGAAGCCATAAACTTTCTCTAACTTCTTAACGTACAATTTACATAACTTACCTTCGTCATCGTATGGTTTAATGATATAACTATTTCTATCTTTATACACAGTCAATGAAAAGTCAACTGGTCTCGGATGTATTTGAAAGAACATGTTATGCTCAGGAAGGAAGAATAAATGTTTAAATGTATGTTTGTTATACTGTGGAATTCGAATGAGTTGCTTTTGTTCTGTCATTTATAAAAATAAAATAAAAATAAACTTAAAAATAAACTTAAAAATAAATGATATCACCACCCTCACACGTATGAAAACATAGCACAAAAATAAATTTAGGTGAAGTGGTGAGATCTCACCTCTTTTTTCACCTGTTTTTTCACCCTGTTGAATTCATTGCTTTATAACTCTCTTCCTTGGTTTCTTTTTAGTTGCTTTCTTCACGTCTGTCTCCAACTTGACTGTCTTTCTTCTTCGGCCGTAATGATACCAGTTACTTCCACCAGTCAATGGGTCAAATGGTCGTTCATAAGGGTTTCCATACATTCCATAGGGACCATACGGAAGAACTACTGGTGGAGAAGAAACATTTTCTTTAGTTCCATCGACTCTATTTAAATGCATTGTTTCACCTTTCATCTGGTCATTAAAGTCTTTTGCGTGTTTTGCAAACTCATCGTCCTTTCCTAAAGCATTTTCTGACTCAGTCGCAACCAAATTGGATGCTTTATTTATGAGCCCTATTTTATTTAATCTTAACTTCTTTGCAACCCAGCCTCCAATCTTCCCTTTATTTGCATCTAATGTCTTCGAAACCCTACCTCCACTCATTTTATTTACTGCGTCATAAGCTCCAAGTGCTTTTGCTCCAAATGCTAATGCTTTTGTTCCCATTGCGCCTAAAGCTGCCCAAGCTACCATTTACACCATATTAAAATCATCTCTCTTCAATATTATCTCATAAAAGTTCTCGTTACTGGAGAAAGTCAATGAAACATAAGCGTTCTCACGGGCTTCGCCCTCACCGCTTTGCGGTCTATCTAACTTCTTTCTTATATCATCTATACGCTTCAAAATGTCTGAACAATTGCTAACATCTTCTACAACAGTTATTTCATCATGAATGACCTTCAAGAACAAGCTCATTTAATATGCTATTAAAATCATTCAATAATGAGTCCATCCTTTCCGTCTTTGGTAGCACAACATCTTTCATTGAAGAAGGTTCGACAAGTCTTATGTTAAACTTACTGACAAAGTTTGTTATACTATAATGCTTCGGCGGCGAATACATGTAGTTTGAAAGACATAATATAGATTCTTCAGCAAATTCACTTATACTGGATTTTATAACAATGTTCTCACGAGACCAAATACCACCAATTGACAATCTTGTAAGCAATCCTGCTGAACCTTCTACTGTAAACGTCGATGGTAACATTCCACGAAGGTCATCTATTGACATCGTTGAGTCACTGTATTTAAATATTTTCTTAAAGCAATCGTCATTATCTAACCATGCAATAGCTTTGAAGTTTTCATTCGAATATACATCTGCTTCATTAAATGTAAAACCTGACTTCTTTGCAGAGATGACTTTAAAATCTATTGAGTTTGTTTCAAAATTATATGCTATGGTAACTTCTGAAGGTAATGGATGTCCTTCCGCAGTCAGTTGTTCTCTCACTACCGTTTGAAGCTTTGTATTAAAAACTTTCATGTCATCTCCTGTATCTAAGTTCACATACACAGCAACAGGAAAACTATCTTGCTTCTTTGTTTCATCATTATACCTCAAAACATTAAAGTTCTTCAATAATATTGTTCTTCTGCTGGAATACTTCGAACCTGTCTGATTTCAATAGCTTTCTCACCTCCTACATACTCTACCCAGTGTCTTGGATATTCATAAGTATACTGACTTTCTTGAATTTTGGTTGGTTTCATCATAACATGTTCATAGTATATCTTTATACTCTTGTCAGTTAGACTCGGTGCTATGTTCTGAATATTTCTGACTTGCATTTTTAATGGAGATAAAATGAAGCATTTAATACATGACGTAGATGAAGACATGAATGAAACTACAGACAAACTTAACTCTTCTCTTATTCTTCCTTTCAGTAAGGACTATGAGTTCTGTTCAAATGGCGTTTATTTCTATTGTGGAAAGATGGGTTCAGGTAAGACATTTAACCTCATTCGTCATATACTCATAACAGAACGTTTAGGAAACGACTCTTATTATGACCAAATCATTATATCAGCAACTTCAGACTCTATGGACTCAACAGCGAAAACATTTATGTCAAAAGTTCAAGCCTCTGTCGTTAAAGTTCCAGACAGTGAACTCATTGAATTTCTTCAACGTTACATTCGACGTAAGAGGAAATATTATGCCATCGTTGAATTTATACAGTCAGGAATGCAAAAGACTTCTGAGGAGATGGAAAGAATTATTGACAAACACCACTTACGTCAATACTCAGGTGTTTACGATATGAAACGACTGACAAACTACATTCTATCAAAACTTTCAAAATACCCCTTCAAAAAATATCCTTCAAACACTTTATTAGTTTGTGACGACTTCGCTGGTAAAGGTTTAGTGTCAAAACCAGACTCACCATTAGCTAACATCATTACTAAAGTCAGACATTACCACTTAACTGTAGCAATACTTATGCAAACATGGAGGTTTTTAGCTTTAAACATAAAACGTCTCATAACTGACTTCGTTATCTTTCAAGGTTTCTCACGTTATGACATTGAACTCATTTGGAAACAGTCAGGTATAACATTACCTTTTGAAGAAATTTGGGAAGCATATAAGTCTCTCATCTCTCCTCGTTCATACCTTGAGATTCATATCATGACTAATACCATTAAAGTCAAAAATATTCCATGGGAACGACCAACATTATTTTAAAGCTTAACCTTCAATTGACTGATGGTAAACAAATTCCATGCATCTCTGTCGCCATTTCTGTTAATATTTTTGCTGTCATTCATATCATCCACTTCCCCATCCGTTAGCTTTTGAGGATATGCGTTAGAATAGCTGTTCTTAAATGAAGGCTTTTCACCTTTGAGAGCATAAACTCTATAACTTTCTGCATACTTTATGTTTGAACCTCCTGAGCCATCATTAACATAAATTTTTATAGGCTTCCACCCTTTGTTCATGTTCCTGCTTCTTCCCTTAGCTCTTTTGTTCAGTAGTTCTACATCTTTATACACAGCACCTGTCTCAGTGAATTCAACAATATTTTCATTCGTTAGCTTTACATTCAAACCCTTGTCGAGTATATTGTTCATTTCATACATATAAAAGGTTTTTATTCTATATGAAATGAGAAGCAAATCCATCTTAGCTGGTGCTGTTAATGTTCCAATTGAACCAACATCAAATGTTGACTCACGAACGACAAACAATATTGTCATAAAGAACTATAGTTCAGAATGTTTGAAAGAAAAAGAACCAGAACTTAAGTCGGTGAATTTAAACTCAGCTTCAAACGCTAACGCTACATCAGATGTTAAGTTAGAGTATCCACCACTGGACCAAATTCTTTCAAGAGAAGCCAACGACAACCCTTACACAAATGTTCAAACAAATCCTTCAGATAATGTAGACCATTACCTTCTTCAGTTATACCAAACAATTTTACTCAAAGACGATAAGAAGCTTTTGACAAATCTTATAAGCAAGAACCAAATAATTCTAACAAAGGAGGACCTTGAAAATGTTATCTCACGAATAACAGGGAAACAATGTGTCATTGACTATCTCGACCCTGAAATCGAATGCTGTGGTCAAACTCCACTATTCATGAAAATAGGTAACATCCGCATCATTGAAACACCAGGAACTACAGGAGTTGAGTTTAAGTATAAATATTCGAATGAATATACAAAACTTTCAACAGAATATAAACTTTGTTTGAAATATGTTTTAGTAAATTAAAGCAGTCAGGAGGGCTCTTTGAGCCCATCTTGGCGCTTTGCGCCGTCAGTCAAAAAAAATTTCAAGTTAGCAATTTGTAATATCTATCCAAAACTTCTTCAACACTATGAACTCATCTTCATAATGCAAACCTAATCTTATTGACTTGGTGCAGTTTTCACTAACACAATATTTTTCTGTTCTCTTGACTGACATAACTAACTCATTTGTTTCATCAAACAGCAACAACCAAAGTTCATGACCTAATACATAACATTCATGCTTTATATTTTTAGCTCTGAGTTCTCTTGTAAGCTGTTGCATTTAATATTTTCTAAAAAGTCAACTTCAACAGTCATTCGCACTGGTGCCTTCAGTTCTACAGGCTCTCCTTGAAAGTCAACAAGTCTGAATTGCATGTCTTTCAAATTATGAGGACTAATGCGAACCCATTTACCTAAATGAGTTGCTATGACAGGAACGTTTGGAATGAACATTGAATTTACTGCATAACAGAAGGATTTATATTCTACTGAACCTTTACTATTAACTCCTGAAATGCCTGTGACATTAGCTATTTTAGACTCAATGTATAAACAATTACCATAACATACGTATGGAACAGATTTCATCTCAATCGTTTTGTCAACACTTTTCAAAGGAAATGTCATATGGTATGCACCCAAAAGAAGTTGTACTCTATGACTCATTCGTGTATCTTAAACTCCTTCGCATAACTGAACTTCAAAACTCCTGCAATAAGTTTAACATTCATTAAGTTTTCTTCGTTATCCTTGTTTATTGTAGTATTTATGAGAGCATTTAACACTCCAGCTAATGTTTCCATCTTATATTCTATTATTGTGAAATCTTATTTCGTGCTTCTTTCCATCTATTTCAATCTCCATGAAATCTGTTTCATCTGTTATAACGAATGAAGCGATAGTATTGAAGTCAACCATTCTGAATGCAAGCGCCTCATTCTGTAGACCTAAGTTTGTTTGTAGCTTTACTGTCCCGTATTCGTTTGGGTCTGTACTTTGCAAATAGAACAACATTTTATTCTCATTAAAATATGAGTATAGCTGCATATGCGTATGAAGCTGACAGAGCTAAACGTTTATATTTTGGTCAATACTCTCTCACACTTACTGACAAATATATTGTTATCACTGATGGAAATACTGAGAAATACATAACATGGAAGGACTATGAAAAGTTTGACCCTATTTTAACTCCATGTACTATGCCGTTTATAAAGGACGGTGAAATTATTGAAAAAGATAATACAACCGTATATAGGTCTGTTTATGAAGCGTTAGAATATATGTTGAATCATAATTCCGAAAGATTTGACCCAAGCACTACACCATGTGCAATGCCTTTTATTAAGGACGGTGAAATCGTAAGAGTTCCGGATTCAACGGTTTACACAGCTGTTCAAAACAGTTTACAAAACATTTTAGCGAATATCTTTAATTCAGAAACTACAGAAATAAAATTACCATATATAACAGATGCTAAAGAAATTAAATCAAAAACGACAACATTATTTACGTCACTTAATGATTTAATGACTTATATCATTAATATTCCTGCACCAACTACAGCATTTGATCCAAACTCGACGGTTTGCAAAGTACCTTTCATAAAGTCGCAAAGCGACCAGGGCGAAGCCCATGACAGTTCATTAATTACTTTAAGGGATTCGACAGTAAATGAATCATTAAAGGCGTCATTAATGAAAATCATTGATTTTAATTCATTCACGAATACATATAATTCATTCATTAATGTTTCATATGCTTCTAAAGAAGGTGAGCCAAAAACTATCGATAAAGCGGTGTATGAAATAAAAGCATCAACGACGAAATTGAATTCGTTAACTTTTGACGGTGATAGTTTCGTTAATGACATAACATCGGGGAAAACAATTTTAACGAAAGAATATTTAAAATCTCATGTTAGTGAGTTCGTTGAAATTGAAAAAGAAGGTGGAATTAAGTTCGATCCACTGAATTTCATTTTCAGCTTAGCGAATGCGGGTGTTAGTTTCGCTGAATGGACAACTATACAGAGTGAAATAAATGCAATATGGACGTTTTTGGGGTCAAAAGCGGGAATGAGTGAGCTTGTAAATGCTGCAAGAATATTAGGTGAAACAGGAAATTTTGTTGATGGTTTTAAAAGACTTGTTTCAAATGTTTTAACAAACACAAAGAAATTATTTAGATATACTGTACATAACGGACGGATTTTCGAGCAGATAGCAACAAACCCTCCGGTTATGGCTGCGTTGATGATGGCTAGAGATATAAAACCACGTAACGACGGGAACGAAGAACATGAACAACAGGATACCGGTGGGGTTATTCGAGACATTAAAAACGTGTATCCTGAAGTTATTGATTTATTTAGAGGAGTTAATGATTCAATTTCAAAACATTCTATAACCATCGATGAAGAGAATAAATTAACAGATTATATATTCGTCATTATTGCAGAATTAATGAAGAGAATAAATGAAAAAGGAATTGGTGATATCATTAATGTCAGCGATGTAATGATGAAAAGAAATTTTGACTCATTATTTACAAAACCGAAAACAGAATATAGTCTTTATGACGTAATTACCGAATTAATGAAAAAGATTAATGATAATAAGAGTTCTGGCGGAAGAGTTGAATTAGAAGTGAATGATGTTAATGAGAAATTAGCCGAAAAAGCAGACAAAAATGAGCTTTTAGCTCTGAGTGATAAAGTCAAGAACCATGTTCATTATATAACTTCAGACGAACAGATTATAACGGGCTACCACGGATATTTAACATGAACTGAAGAAGAAGTGAAGACAAAAAATGTTAATGAAAGAAGATATAAATACATTCGTGCTAAAGGTTATGACATAAGCTGTACTGTACAGTATGATGTAGCTAAAGCACCAGAAGCATTTAGTTATAACGATGAAATTTATGCCTCTACTTTCTCTGTTAACGGTGTATTAGTTGAACCAAGATTTACATTGAGAGTTAAGGCAAAAATAACTTTTGAAGATGCTATTAAAAGTAAAGCTGACAAAGATGAACTTGACGCAATGAACAAAGTTTTGAAATCTCATAAACACAACATCTCCGATATAAATGAACTTCAAGCTACATTAAATAGTAAAGCTGACAAGAACCATACACATGAATCCTTCACTACTGTTAGAGCAGACGACATAATATTGAACTATACCCTTGGTTCAAGTGCACCTTTAGAGAATCCAAGTACAAGCGTAAAAGATACACTAAACAATTTAGATAACAGATGTATGAACATTGAAGGTCATGCCAGAAACTTTGAAACACATGAACTACCAGCAATGTTAGATAAGAAAGCTGACAAAACTTATGTAGATGAAAATTATGCAAAGAAGTCGGAAGTAAATGCTGCGCTTAATGGAAAAGCCGACAAGAACCATACACATGAAGAATTTCAAACAATCAGGATTAAAGAAATTAAGGCATGCATTGAAGAAGTAACAAAAACAGGAAGAAACGGTGCAACTGTACATGAACAAAGAATTTATCCTCCTACTTTTCCTAATGGTTTAATAACAAACAATATAAATATTGTAGATGGCAAAAGATTTATAAATGTTAAACATGAACTTCTAACAATGAAGACTGAAATACTTCAAACATTATATCCTGTTGGTTCTATTTATACGTCAATGAACTCAACAAATCCAGCAAGTGTTTTAGGTTTTGGTACATGGCAGCAGATTGTAGACAAATTCTTATACTGTGCTAACTCTTCAAAGCAAACAGGAGGTTCGAAGAAAATTACTGAAGCAAACTTACCCGCGCACACTCATACAGGAACGACAAACTTTTCTGGCGACCATAGTCACTCATTAAGAGACCACCCATTATACAACTCAGAGTATGAAGCTGGCCATGACGTTTTATCTCCATCTTATAACAATGCAGCAAAAAAGATTTTTCGACCAACTGAACCAGGAGGAAATCATTCACACACTTTCACAACAAATCCAACAGGTTCGGGTGCAGATTATATGCCACCATTTATGACTGTATTCGCATGGTATAGAGTTCAATGAACGCGCTTGAGCCTAGCATAAAATCTTTAACTTTACATAAATGAGCTTGAAAGAAGTATTCGAACAACATCCATGGAGGTCATTTAAGAAGTTCAATGAAGCTGCAAAGAGTTGGGGATTTACTAACAGAGCTGAAGTGAAAAGGTTCTTTGACAAAAATGTTGTACATCAAACAAAAATAAACCCTTACGACTACTTTTTACCAATTTACTCCAACACTCCTGACGCATACCAATTTGACACTCTCATTCAAAGCAGAAAAGGAGGACATAACCCATTCCTCATCTTCATTAATGTTAACACTCGCAAAGCATATGCATATCCAATGAGGAATAAAGGAACTCGTGAAGTGTTAAGAGTTTTACAAAAGTTTGTAGCAGAACATAGCCCAAGTACTTTAACATCAGACCAAGACAGTGCATACCTCAGCAATGAAATCACAGAATTTCTCATTAAGCATAACATAACTCACTACACTACTGAAGACCATAACCATAACATACTCGGCATCATAAACCGCTTCATAAGAACGCTCAGAGATTTAAACCAAGAGCGAGACTTTACCGAAGAAACAATGAAACATTTCATCGAAGTTTACAATTCCTCAACACATTCTACAACAGGACATACACCAAATTCAATGACACAACAACAAGAAGAAAAGTATATACAAAAGAAACGAAGTCAAACACAAAATATCAGAAATTCAACACAATTTACCCTCATTCCTGGTACAAAAGTTCGTGTAGTTCTTGACGACAAACCGTTGACAAAGAAACGTTTAAGGTTAAGTAGAAACTATTATATCGTAGACTCTACGCAAGGTAATGGATATCTTATAAAAGCTGCCGACGACTCTATTGCGTTTTACCCTCGTCACAAATTAGTCGAAAGTAGTAATGGTAAACTTGCTGAAACCATTGACGAAGCAAAGCGAGGAGTGGTTATTGAAATACTTGGCTATAACATAAACGATGACACTTATAAAGTAAGATATGAAGGAGGCGTTGAAGATGTTATACCATCTAAGAACTTGAGAGAATCTAAACCAACTCATCTGGGACCATTAGAGTGGGAGTACTGGAAAGACAAAAATAAGCCAGAAAGAATAAGAAAATTCTTCTAAACTTTTTCATTAGATGTAAATCAGACATGAACGAGAACAGTCATGATATCATTAATGGAACCATTTATTTTTGTCATAAATTTACACCAAAAATATATTTTAGGTGAAGAGGTGAGATCTCACCTCTTTTTTCACCTCTTTTTTTCATCTCTTTTTTCACCTCTTTTTTCACCTCTTTTTTCACCCTCACCGCTTAGCGGCTCAGATTGCTTTAGCTTTCTCGTGAATTTTCATGAATTTCCTTAAGATAGAAAAATAACGCTAATTTTATTTTTATTTATTTTTTTATTTTGTATAAAAGATATGATTTCAACAATCGGCACAACAACAATTCAAACAACTACAGCACAAACTCGCTAGTCATGAATCCTACGTCAATGTTGGTAGAGATGAAAAGCTTTATTCCTTCTTCATATACTTTTGAAACAGAAATCCAGAAGATAAAGCAAGAACTTTTAACAAGTAATTTAGACTGTAGTGCGAAAGATGAAACAAAATGAACAGTATCTTTATGAAATGCAGGACATTATTGACCATTTACCCAAATTGCCTGAAATCCAACAGCAAAAACTAACTATTCCTGAATTCGACGAAATAGAAGTGAAACCGACTGACTCAGTAGAAATAAAGAAATTCATACGTAAAGTAAATTATGAGTTTCTAGGATATCATTGCAACCATAAAGTTATGGACAAAGATTGCGACATGGTTTATAAAAATATTTCTGACATATATAAATCGGTGGAGTTTAAGACATACGATAACTTTTTCATTAGTTGCAAAATGTGTTTGGGAAATAAGAGATAAAGATAGAAGAGGTAAGGTATGGCATGAACAGTTAAAACCAGCAGCTTTTGAGTTAAAAAAACCATTGACGCCTTAGTTGTTCTAGCTGGTTTTATTTCAATGTATAACGCAAAAATGAATCCGCAATGTTCAAAATGTAAAGCAGCAATAAGAAATATAACTACTCAGTCAAAGAGATAGAAAGAATGCGAAACGACTATGCAGACTTAAAGAAAGAAGCAGAAAAGCCAGCAGAAGATAAAATGGATATGTTGACATTTCTGAACAAAAACTATCCAACTGCAGAAGATTTCCTTCTGTCTGACGTCAAGAAGAAATATAAAGAGACTTTCGGCATGATTAAAACATTCGATGTACTAAAGAAGAAATTGAAGCTACGAAATTGTTTAGGATTTCAAATATACATCGTACAATTCATGTAAAACGCTTGTGAAAAAAGAGGTGAAAAAAGAGGTGAAAAATTAGGTGAAAAAAAGGTGAGATCTCACCTCTTCACCTAAAAATTATTTTTATTGAATTCAGCACAAAAATAATGAATTTCATTAGTTAGAAAAAATAACGCTAATTTTATTTTTATTTATTTTTTTTTATTTTGTATGTAAAGACAGTAATGACAAACATTGAGTTTGAAACAGTTAGAAAGAATAGACAATGACCAAAGTGGTTAGAATAGGTGATTTAAACGTAAGATACTCAAAGAAATACAACAAATATTCTTTGTCAGACATTATATCTCCATCTGGAAAGAAAACAAACGACTGGGTTAGAAATGCTTCAACTCAGAAAATTTTGACAAGAAATCCTGAGCTTATGATATCAGTAGCATTTCATGGAACAAGAGCATATCTTATAGACAAAAGTCTCTATACCAATAGTTTTTGTTATGGTTAGACCCAGTTGTTGGATATAACTTCATAACATATGGTTCATTCGATACGGAACGTTGCAGTGAAGGCTTACTTTACATCGTTCAGAAACCGAAGGACTTCAACACAAAAAGATATAAGATAGGAAGACATATAATATAACTCAAAGATATGACAGTACAGTCAATAGAGTCAAGGTTGTGTTTGTTAATGATATGAAGCTGCTGAAACAGAACTGCTTGAAGTTTTGAGAAAATGTATGGTGCTCCCACGAAAGGTAAAGAAACGTTTGAAGTAGATGAGATAGATAAAGCTATAAAATTATTTGACGAAGTTGCTGAAAAATACATGTAAAGCGTTTATTTTTGGTCTTTTGTGAAAGTCAGAAATAAAGTTAGTTTTATTTTTATTTATTTTTTATTTTGTATGTAAAGACAGTAATGTCAACATTAGAGAACACAACAACAGTTATAGTCCATGAAGCTATAAATGAAGAATACGAGTACATACAGTATAACAAACAGTTACGTCTCATTCGTTCAGTCAAAGATGACATGTACCAAATGCAAAGTATAATGAATGCTCTTCGTTCTACAAAGCAAGCATATCATTGGTTTGAAAACCAACAGACAAAAGAACTTTTAGAAGAATTTCCACATATGATTGCTTCCCTCGGAAAACCGAGAGAAGAGATTCCGTATGAAAATCGCAAGAATTTGGCTCCTGGTTTGAAAGGTTATTATGTTCATAGACTTTTAGTAAACGCTGTAGCAATATGGGCTTCACCTCGTTATGCTTGTTAATTTTCATGATGTTAGATGAACTATATAAAGCAGAACGTGGAGAGATGGAAAAGAAACTTCAAGCAAAAGATGAAGTCATTGAATCCAAAGACAAAAGCATACAGAAAAGAATACCGCGTTCAGTACCAAAAGGAAAGGAAAAGAGTTATAAGTATATGATATATACTGAAGAGTTGGAGAAAGAAGAAGATAAAGATATGGTTATGTTGCATTTAGTCAGAAGAAACAACAAGAGCTTTTACGACTTAGCTAAGATTTACAAATCTGACAGAAACTGGTTCTATCGTGAAAACTTACCGATTTCAATGACACCGAATGAACAAATAAAGGAAATTGTCCAAAATACTCTTCCTCAAACACACTATGACATCAAAGGTTGCACAATACTTACATTCAAAGAAGACTTAACATTACTGAAGGAAAAAATAACAGAATATTTCGATAACTTCAAAGAGGAAGAATAAAGTCACGACAACATTAACGAAGAGAGAATGAGGTGAAAAAGAGGTGAAAAAACGGGTGAGATCTCACCTCTTCACCAAAAAAAATTTTTTGCTTAAATAGCTTCAGGGTCTATTTCTTCAACCATTTCACTTCCTTCGTCAATGTCAATAGAAGCTTCTTCAACCTTTGGTAAGAATTTCTGTATAACATCTTTGTTCGTTATTTGTCTTCAGAGATGAAGGATAATATTTCACAATTTGTTTCACCCTTCTTATATTCTTTCTGTTCGGAAAGATTTAAAGCAATACTGAAGAAGTCAATATTAGAGTTCTTTATGACAGTATAATGAGTATCTTTGACATTCACGAAGAAACTCTTTTGTTTCAAAACTACTGCTAACTCTTGTGAAGTATAACGTTTGCGGTCAATGACGATAGCTAATGGTCTGACATACTGACCAAACTTAGATTCTTTCACAAACTTCTTGTTAAAGATAACATTAACTTTGAAGCATTATTGAACTCATTCTTGATGGCAGTAGCGAGAGCATTGTATGAAAAGAACTTGCAATCTTGCATGTGTTTCATTAAAATAAAAATATTAAATTATTTTGAAAAATAACTTAAAAAATCTAATCTAATTTTTTCAAAAAATATTTTTTTATTTCCTACTAAAGATGTATCGGAAGTTGTCTAAGTTAGAACACTCGAAATAAAACAACTTCTTACAGAAAGCTAATATAGATGTTGCAAAGCATTACGCAACAAACAAAAAAGCACTCGCTGACATCCTCAATGACTACAATGGTGCAATAAGTTATGATAGAATTCATGAGTTCATAAAGCCGCAACGCGGCGAGGACGAAGTCCATGCAAGAGCATTTCCTTTAAATGACGTTGCTATTGACTTATATCATAGACGTTCAGTACCTCATGAAGTAAGAAGAGAAATGTTTGACATAACAAATGCAAACGTTGGTGAAACAAGAAGAAGAGACGACACACTGAAACAACAGAGAAGAGAGATGTTTAAGAGCGCTATAGAACAAGTTCGCAAAGCTAACGATGTCATTCGTTCCATTGACGACAAACCAAAAGAAGGTGAGAGATGGTTAAAGAAAGATGAAGAGAATAGGAAGAGAATGTTAAGTCAGGCAATAGACTCATTGACTTTAACATCGAAGCTTTAGATGAACCAAACAGAGACTACTTACACAAACATTTCGGTAAGGTTTTCATGAGACTCTTAGAGAAATTAAAATAAACTCCACAACAAGATGGATGGTATGTTATAAACTTGGTGGAAAGTATGAATGTTCTACGCTTAAACCTCAATAATATTGGAACATTACTACATCAGCTCTTGAAGGAGAACTTTATATCAGAGATAGAAGCAAATGCTGCAGGTATTGTTGAAATGCACTATGACTTCTTCTTGACAAACATAAAGAATCTTACTGAAATAAAGATGTATGATTTAACAGAATATGAAGGCTTAACGATGTCAGTGTAAAGAAAGGCAAACCAAAAAAGAGACCATATAGAGATGAAAGCACACTGACAAATGACCAGAAAGCCATTTTGGAAGCTCTTAAGCAAACAGGAAACCCAGCACTTATAGAAAGCTTTTGGAAAGATAATGGTGAAAAGAAGTTTTATAAGAAGAGAAGCGGTCAGTTCTGGAAGTATCTTTGCACATTACCTATAAATCTTGAACGCTACCAAATCTTCAATGAACTGAACAAAAGAACTGCAACACTTATGACAGAAGACAATTGTTTCGTTTATGCTTGCATTCAGGCTGGAGTAAATGAAGAAACTATTGACCACATGAGAGAAGTCATTCGTGTTAGAGACTTTCCTCAAAGTAAAGTACAAGAAATTTCTGACGCAACAGGTATAGCATTTAATGTTACCATTGTTATTTCAATGACTCAAGACATAATGAAATAAAGAGATACATACCAAAAGAATGTGAAACTGTTCGAACTATTGACTTACTTCTTGTTGAAGACCACTACATGCTAAATGAAAGATTACCAATGACAACATATTTCATTCGCAACTATATAGAAATCTTGAAGGAGTGTGGTGGAATGAACATTGAGAAACAGATGAAGATTTATACAAAGAGAGAGAAATAAATATGTAGTTCGTTATGATAGAACAACACCGCTATGGGATGTTATGAAAACATTGTGGGAGTGCAAATATTTCGAACCTATTTCTTATGGAGAACTTTTCACATATACGACTGACTTATATAAACAGAACCTTGCACCATTTAAAAGATTTGACATATGCTCCAAAGTATTGTGTACAACTGAAGAAGAAAGCCGAGTCAAAAGAAGTAAATAAAAATAAGTGCAAGTTCATTCCTGAGCACGTTTTCTTTGCTGACTTTGAGTGCAGTACCGATGGCTTTCATAAAGCTTTTAACATATGTTACGACAGTGAAGATGGTTCAGTGAGTGAAAGCATTTGGGGTCAGAACTGTGCAACAGAATTTTTGGAACGACTTCCTGACAAGAGTTTAATATATTTCCATAACCTCAGTTATGATATAAACTTCATCTTAAGACACATGACAGAAGTGAAAGGAACTCCCATCATTAAAGGTTCACGAACAATGCAAATAACTGGCTTATATAAAGGAAGGGCAATTATTATAAAAGACTCTTACAGTGTTATAAATAAGAAGCTTAAACTATTTCCTGCTATGTTTAACTTACAAACAGGACCGAAAGAAGTATTTCCATACAACTACTACAGCAGTACTTTGTTAGCAAATGACAACAGAACTGGTGTCATTTCTGAAGCGTGTAAGTTTATCCGGGATGCAGATACATTCATGAAAAACATAGATTCCATCAAAGGTTGCAGAATAGATGAGAACCACTTCGACTTAGAAAAGTATAGCACATTTTATTGCAAACAAGATGTAAGAATTTTAAGAGAAGGTTTTGTTAAGTTCCGCAATGACATATTGAAAGAATTTGATTTAAACGTTTATGACTACGTTAGTATTTGTTCTATTGCTAACAAATTGTTTGAGAACAGAGTATACTTCCCGAATGGAAATCTTTATGACCTCTCAAATAAACCAAGAGAATTTATTTCGAGATGCATTCAAGGTGGAAGATGTATGTTGTCAGATAACATTAAACAAAAGAGCGAAAAGAAACTCATTGCTGACTTTGACGCTGTTTCATTATATCCTTCAGCTATAGCAAGACTTTATACTTTAGAAGGTATTCCAAAGGTTATGAAGAAAGAAATGTTAAGCACAGAGTATCTCATGAGACATTTATTCGATGACGACCAAAAGGAACCCATTGGTGAAAAGTTTATGTCCGGCTTCTTTGTTCTCATTAAGATAACAGAGATTGGAATACATAGACACTTTCCTTTAATAGTTTGTGACCCTGAACTAAATCCAGAACTTAACGTTCCCAGAAGTTCAAACACTTGCTGTCTCATGTATGTTGACCATATAACATTACAAGACCTCATAAAATATCAAGGTGTCAAATGTGAAGTGTTGCAAGGATACTATTACGATGGAAACAGAGATATTAGAATAAGATGAGAAGTAAAGAAGTTGTTTGAGTTAAGGTTAAAGTATAAGAAAGAAGGAAATCCTTTACAAGAAAATATATAAGCTCATTCTGAACAGTATTTATGGCAAAACTATTCTATCTCCTATTGAGTCAAAAAATAACCATAGTAAATGACAAGATGCTATAAGATATGCCATCAGAAACTACAACCATATAGTGAAGTTCGAAGGTTTGGATGGTTCAGATAAAACTATTTTCAAGCTAACGAAAAGCATTTGCAGACACTTTAACTTCTGTCCACTTGGTGTTAACATTCTATCTATGTCGAAGAGAATAATGTGTGAAGTATTCTGTACTGCTGAAGACTTAGGAATGGACATCTTTTATAGCGATACCGACAGTATGCATCTCTACAATGAAGATATCCTCGTTTAGCTGAAGAGTTTGAGAAACGTTATGGAAGAGTTCTCATTGGTAAAAAACCTTGGTCAGTTTCATAGCGACTTCGCAGAAATAACACCTGGAAAACAAAGTTTAGCATACAAGTCAATATTTTGTGGAAAGAAGACTTACATAGACTTACTCACGAATGATTTAAATGAAGTTTGCATTCACTGCAGAATGAAAGGCGTGAAGCAAGATGTTATTGCTTTAACCGCTAATGAAATGTTTCCTGACTCTGTTCAGTGTTTCTATGATGAAGATAAAGGGTTAATGGTTCCGCAAGGAACATATGACAAAGACTCTGAGTTCAGTTTAATGAAACTTTACAAAGCACTTTATGACGGTCAAGATTGGATTTGACTTATGTAAGTCTTCTAGTCCTTGCTTTGCTGAAAAGTTTAATTCTCAATAACGACTAAAACAAGCTTTATTCGTAAGTTGAAGTTCTGAGGTCATTTATTTTTGTCAGCAATGAGGTCATGAATGAGGTCATGAATGAGGTCAGCAATGAGATCATGAATGAGGTCATTTATTTTTGTCAGCAATGAGGTCATTCGTGATAAAAATAAAGCTAGCGTAGATTTTACAATACTGCGATGGTAGAGTTTAAGAGTTGTGCTTCAATGTTAGAGACAGTCCTTATGGTCTGGAGGTAAGAACACTGGGCGTTATGGTCATGAGTGAGAACATGTCTATCCAAAACTCACGATTGAAGCCAGTTAATTTATAGTATTTAGGTTAGGAAGTGGTGAAGTTCTTGTATGACCAATGAACTCATTTTCAACTCCCTTACTTAAGTTTGAATATAATATAGCTTGCTTTCTATCCCAAATGCCAGTGTTACAATCTTTGAAAATTCATTTTTCCTCGAAGCATTGCATCATAATTGAAAACATTCTTGAAATCATCACTTGGTTCAGAGATTTGAAACCTTATACGTAATGGATTTCTTTCTCTTTAGCTACTTCATTGAATGGTGAGAATACAACAAACTGACAGTCATGAGTTCCATCTTCA